ATCACAGACAATTTCTGTACAAGAAAAGGTTTGAAAATTTTAAGTTAATTAACAATAAATTGCATAAAAATAGTTTCTATTATAATTAAAACCAAATGGAATGTAAAAAATATTAGTATTATTAGTCAATCAGTTGTATATGAAGCCGCTTTTCAAATGAGGAATAATATAAAAATTGTTATAGTTGTATAAGTGTCACATTAATATTTCAAAACTGTATGAGAGAATATACGGGAAACGGAATTTTATTCCGACCTTTTAGATCTAACAGTTCAATAATTGTAAGACACTCCACTACTTCAGCCTTTAAATTGGATATTAACATAGCCGCTGCCCACAATGTACCACCAGTTGCGAGTAAATCATCTACTATTAATACTCGACCTCCTTCTTTAATGATGTTTGTTTGAATTTCAAGAGTATCCTAAAATTAAATAAAAGAAATACAGTATTTACTTGGTAAATATGCCGGTTTTAAATACATAAATAAACATTAAATTGTGAGGGGAATTTTTAAATTCGTTGCATACCTGCCCATATTCCAATTCATAGGTTATTGAATCAACTGGTCCAGGAAGCTTCCCTTTCTTTCGGATTGGAATAAAAGGAACTCTTAAAAAAACTGCTAAAATACTGCCAAAAATAAAGCCTCTTGAATCAACTCCGCATATATATTCCACAGGTGGTTGAATTTCTTTAACGTGGGAAAGTAAAACTTCATGCAGCAGTTTAAAAAGACTGGGATCTGCTAATACCGAAAATATGTCCCTAAAAATACTTTTCCTTGTTACGTTTCTTATCAAAGACCGTGACGATTTACCTGAAAATGATTCCTGGTTTTGGAAAATCTTCAAAAGCTTTTATATTTTCTTTAATAATATCAAGTTTTTGTTTATCAGAAAGATTTTCGGACATTATTGTTATAAGCTTTATCATTTACTACGAGAAGCAAGAAGAAAATAGTTAACACCAAAATGATTACTCAGTTACTAACAAGCACTTACATTCAATTTAAGTAAATTGTTAAGGTCATTTTTAAAGAGATAATAATGAAGATTTAACCTAGTCGTCATGCGGATAGAACGTAAAACTGCATTAAAATATTTGTAAAAATATCCAAAAATTATTGATAACACTCCAGATCATCTTAAGATAAACTTTTATCAGTGAATTTTCTCTGTAATAAATGGTTAAGAATTTTACAAATTTGATTTACCAAAATTGGAAAGTCGACGAAGCACCTCACAAAAGTGACATTTAGTGACTTTACATTACTTTTCGATGTAAAATGAATGTAAAAATTAAAAATCCTTTTCTATGGTTTTGATGTTGTCGGGTTACGTTCTGCTTTTTTGTTTTTTTTTGTTTATGATGAGTTTAAAATTCTTTATTTCTTTACCCTTTATGTATCTATTATCTATGCTTTATTATCGTTCTGTAATTATATCATGAAAGGCATTAGCTGTTTTATGGGTAGCAAACTACGATTACAAGTAACAAATTAATAATTTATTTTTTAGACTAATAGTGGGAAATTGATGAACTAAAAGGCAATCATAGACCTAAGATGACTTCTCCATCGAACACTTCCTCCCTAACGTGGCCTGATTGCTCCTGCAGATTTTGGAGGTCGCCATCGCCATGCTGTTTTGCTGTCCATGTTCAGAAACGGCGGCTGAAGGTATTTAATCCTAATTCATTATTCTATTTTAATTTGAGTAAGTGGAATATGTTCCCATTTAGTGATTAGTAGATTTGGGTTACCGTTGTTTAAATATTTGAAGAAACTGAATTTTCTTCTCCGGCATGGGTTTCGTATGCCAAGGCGTTTATTATAGCTATCTACTGTGAATTTAATAGATTCTTAGTTCAGTAGATTTTTAATATCGACGTGGTCAAGCCATGAAGGAATCGTTTCATTTTATCCGTATATTTAGGTACATTTATGTACATGTATGTGTCTGTTTATGCCTTTTTTCAGTTGGGAACAGAGACAGTGTGTGAATGGGTAACAATATCAATTAAAAATAATAGATAAAATCCGAGAAAAGTCAAGTTCTTAGACGTTTTTCTTCTCTATTTTTACAGATTGACAATAAATAGAAGTGGAAGAGTGTTCATTTTGATGCTAGTGGAAAAGCAAGTTTGTCTGCTGTGGTGTTCTTTTTACCTTAGGGGATCTTCTAGTTAATTTAAGTGAGCATANTTTAATTTTGATTAATACTAGTAGAAAACACCTCAAATTTGATGAACTTTATAGAAAGCATTGACAGTTAAGAATACCCACCTACCACGCTGGCGACCCGGGTTCTACCCACAAGCGATGCAGTATTTTTTTTATGCTAGATAATCTAAATCAGTCGAATATCGAAGACATGCGATACTAGTTTAAAAAATCCGTTTAAAACACTTTCTACTCATATTCGTTCAGTCTTTACATACTTAGTAGGTATTTATTGATACAGTTATTTTATTAAAAAAATAATAAGTTTTCTATAGTACATTTTATTTGAGTGAATCACTGGTAAAACATGTTTTTTATCACAGACAATTTCTGTACAAGAAAAGGTTTGAAAATTTTAAGTTAATTAACAATAAATTGCATAAAAATAGTTTCTATTATAATTAAAATTAAATGGAATGTAAAAAATATTAGTATTATTAGTCAATCAGTTGTATATGAAGCCGCTTTTCAAATGAGGAATAATATAAAAATTGTTATAGTTGTATAAGTGTCACATTAATATTTCAAAACTGTATGAGAGAATATACGGGAAACGGAATTTTATTCCGACCTTTTAGATCTAACAGTTCAATAATTGTAAGACACTCCACTACTTCAGCCTTTAAATTGGATATTAACATAGCAGCTGCCCACAATGTACCACCAGTTGCGAGTAAATCATCTACTATTAATACTCGACCTCCTTCTTTAATGATGTTTGTTTGAATTTCAAGAGTATCCTAAAATTAAATAAAAGAAATACAGTATTTACTTGGTAAATATGCCGGTTTTAAATACATAAATAAACATTAAATTGTGAGGGGAATTTTTAAATTCGTTGCATACCTGCCCATATTCCAATTCATAGGTTATTGAATCAACTGGTCCAGGAAGCTTCCCTTTCTTTCGGATTGGAATAAAAGGAACTCTTAAAAAAACTGCTAAAATACTGCCAAAAATAAAGCCTCTTGAATCAACTCCGCATATATATTCTTAGTTTTACGTTTTGAATATTGTTTAAGAATGACTATATAAATATTTACATGCCTAGAAATGTATAAAAATTGGCATATTTATTAACTTTGACCCCCATAACTTTTCATGGGGGTGAGACCGCCACGAACTTTTTATGGTACAGTGGTGGGGGAGACCTCCTCTTTCGATCCCCCATCAAGGGGCTAGACCTTTACCATAAAATCAAATATTATTTAAAAAGGATTATATAAAATACAGAATATTTAATTTTTCAATAATTATTGAATTGTGAACGTCAGCAGACATTGTAGGAATTATACACAATTTCTTGGGAGCAAACAAGGGCATGCCAAAGTCATTACCATATTAAACTTTTTTGATTTACCGGTAATTACAGGTATAGGTGTTTCGTTCGCAATTATTCATTTTTCAAGCAATCTGATGTAGATTCAAAACAATTCAAAGCTGCATGGAGATAATAAAAACCGATCAAACATGATTGTGTAACAATGCAGGGTTATTTCGTAATTATATAGTTCACGTAACCTTATAATTACTCTAAGTCTGCTCGAATGTAATAAGAATTAAATAAAATTCGAATAAGCATATCACGGTTTTGTAATAATGAAAAAAGACGTGCACAGGATGGACTTTTTTATATGCGATTGCTACAGCGTAACGTAGCCGACTATTAGAAACAATTAATTCCTCATGCACGGCTTATTTCAATTTCATTGTCAGAGAAACAATCGAAACACGCTATAAGTTATAAACAAATCTAAAATTGTTTCTGGAAAATTTCCATTTTATCAAATATAAATCGACCCCCAAAATACTAGATTTTTAGCCCGAACAGAAGACTGAAACTTTTGGACTGATTTCTAGAAAAAATGATAGAAGAAGACTCTTAACTGTTGTCACTCTACAATGAATAATAGAAATAAACACGTTTAAATTACAAAATGTTTTTATTATTTCCGCGTAGTGCCTTCTTCAGGTGGAAGATTACTAACTACAGTCGAACCTGGATAAGTGGTCCCGTCATTTTGCCCTTCTAAAGCCTCTATAAGTGAGAAACATAAAACCTGTATAAGTGACAGTCGTTTTTCATGCGTGAACCTCTTTAAGTGAGATTGCTACTTGTCAATACCTCTATAAGCGACAGTTTACTTTTGCTATTTTATGACTCGTTCTTAAATTTCAAGAGACTCTTATTTCATTCGAATAACCAAATCTGCGAATGACCGAGTAAGTCTTTATTATTTTATTATAGCCAAATGTGCGTACCGACTTGTTTATCAATCTTATTGCAGTCAGTTCATAAAAGCAGTTGCGAAGAAAGGTNATCATGACATAAATAAAAGTCAAACAATCATAGATGCACGAGGTTAATTTATGATGTTAACAATAGATACTTAAATAAATGAAGTACCGTAGATACACGTCAACATCAATTTAAACTGTGAACAATAGTCAATTGATAAGACAAGTAACCAATAAGATTAATAGAGAGCAAGTGTGCATTCTCACCTTCATTAACTGTAGAAAGTAGCGTTCTAAATTGCACAGGTGCAATGAGCAAGCCAAATCCAGGAGGAATACTACTGCAATTTCTTGTTTCAGTCGTTTCAAAATTAATTTCCACTTGCCTCTCACTCGCAAAATTAAAATTAACTCCATAATGTTACAAGATGAAGACGTCAAAAACAATTCCTTGTCATTTGTTGGGCAATCTACAGAAACGGGCAAGAAAATGTAATTAATTACCACATTTAAAGCAAATAAATAAACATTCACACTGATGGAAAGGTCATTTCCACATTAATTTTGCTGTTCTGTTTCTGCCATTTTTAAAACGTTGTTTAAAAAGTGTCTATTGAAAATAAGTTATAAATGTCTAAAAACCTGAAGTTTCTGCGACCTCATTTACTGTTTTTAATTAATACTGTTCCTTATCGGTTCATTCATCTTTACAAATCCTTCCTTTAGCAGTGGCACACTGACTCTGTTCCCAATGGGGAAAAAAGCACTTTCTGCTCTCTTTAGGACCGTAGGTGCAGCTACTTTCTGGAGCAAATGAAGACTGATACAACCAATGCTCAGTAATTTATTGGGATCCTAAGTTTTTATAATGTTCCTGTAAAACGAAATTTTATTAGAGTATTCAGATACAATTAATTTAGCCTCACTAGTAAATAACGTGCATAATACAATGTTAAAGTTAATATCAAATAAATAGACTAAATATATATATTACAGTATGTATGCTCACCTAAATTAACTAGAAGATCCCCTAAGGTAAAAAGAACACCACAGCAGACAAACTTGCTTTTCCACTAGCATCAAAATGAACACTCTTCCACTTCTATTTATTGTCAATCTGTAAAAATAGAGAAGAAAAACGTCTAAGAACTTGACTTTTCTCGGATTTTATCTATTATTTTTAATTGATATTGTTACCCATTCACACACTGTCTCTGTTCCCAACTGAAAAAAGGCATATACAGACACATACATGTACATAAATGTACCTAAATATACGGATAAAATGAAACGATTCCTTCATGGCTTGACCACGTCGATATTAAAAATCTACTGAACTAAGAATCTATTAAATTTCACAGTAGATAGCTATAATAAACGCCTATAGCATACGAAACCCATGCCGGAGAAGAAAATTCATTTTCTTCAACTATTTAAACAACGGTAACCCAAATCTACTAATCACTAAATGGGAACATATTCCACTTACTCAAATTAAAATAGAATAATGAATTAGGATTAAATACCTTCAGCCGCAGTTTCCGAACATGGACAGCAAAACAGCGTGGCGATGGCGACCTCCAAAATCTGCGGGAGCAATCAGGCCACGTTAGGGAGGAAGTGTTCGATGGAGAAGTCATCATAGGTCTATGATTGAGTAAGAAAGGACTGATATGACGAACCTATAACACTTTTACTCCTATTTTAGACATACTTCAGTTACTACAAAATCTTATATACTATGATTAAAGACATCGACGTTTACTAATGGACATGCCTTAGCGGTCAGAATTGTGGTACAATCATAGATAATAGGGTACAATAAAAGAAAGAGATAGAACGAAGTTTTGGACAATACCCATCTCTCTCACGATAGTGCGTGGGCGTGTCATGAAAAAGATAGCACTAGTCGGAAACCATACGCCATCTCTCTCATTTTTCGAGCCAAGAAATTATTACAATGACATACGGCTAAGGCACGTCCATTAATATATGTCGATGATTAGAGATAATAAACTATGATTATATACCTGTATCATAGATCTGCATATTCTGTGTCTGTATATCTATCATATCCATCCAATCCATAGATCTAATCATAAAGATCCAATATCCAAATAGTCATATTCTATGATCAAGTGTACTTAATTAGTATTGTGAACGTATTGACGTGGCTATTAATTTATCTTTAAATCTAAAAAGCCGATAATGATGTATTGAAGTATTTAAAAAAACATATTTTCACAATGTGAAGATAACTTTACTAACATACAATAATAAGCAAGTGTAAGTCATATTTAAAAATCTGGAATAGCTGTAAGTGTAGTAACTAATGTAATGTTTATATCTTTCAGTTATTAATGCAATTTTAAAATAACATGCGATTTATGAGAACTACAATTATAGTATTTTTCATTGCTTCCTGGATATTACTGTTTATTTACTTAATTCTTTTTGGACGAATAGTAAAAACAGATTCAAATAACCTTGTGGCAGAAAAGCTCAAAACTCTTGAAAATGATATTTATCAACAGTTTCAATGGAACAAAAAGATTATTACTTCCTTAAAAAATGCCATGGTTACAATTCCTAGTATTGAAGAAAATGTAATTGCAGAAGAGAAGCAGAGCTCTAAAAAAACTGTAATTGCTGTTCTTGTAATAGCTTGTAATAGAGTTACCGTGAGTCGATGCTTAGACCAACTTTTAAAGCATAGACCTAATTCTGATCAATTTCCAATCATTGTTAGTCAGGTAAGTTAAACTTCAGTATTATGGTATAAAATTAGAATTAGCCAAGTGCCAATGTACTTTTCAATGTTCTAAAACAAAATTTTGTCTTTTTAGGATTGCGGCCATCAAGAAACAATGGATACTATTATGAAATATGGTTCACAAGTAACTCTTATTCAACAGCCAGATCAGTCAGATATTGAAGTTCCTCCCAAAGAGAAGAAGTTTAAGGGTTACTTTAAAATTGCCAGGCACTATGGTTGGGCCCTGAATCAAACATTTTTCTCTTTAAACTATGACAATGTTGTGATAGTAGAAGGTATGTTTGATTAATGTTAACCAATGAAAATTATGAAATAATAAGGCAATATTACAGTATCACAATTTTAATATGATTAACAGAACTAAACTTCTATGCAGATTAAATATTTGTTACCTGAGAAATGGACTATAACCTAATAATTGTTTATTTCATAATGAAATTACAAAATAAAACTTAATGTCTTCAGTTATGAGAATATTTTAAATTCGTATGGTCAAGGTTTATATTTGTGAAGTCTTCATCATCTAATTTAGAAATAAATATGTATGCACTTGTCTCGTACTTACAGATGATTTAGATATAGCTCCAGATTTCTTTGAATATTTTCTTGGTACACTTCCTCTTTTGATTAATGATCCATCTTTGTGGTGTGTTTCTGCATGGAATGACAATGGGAAAATTGGTTTAGTAAATGAACATACACCTGGTCTTTTGTATAGAACTGATTTTTTTTCGGGATTAGGTTGGATGTTAACAAAATCACTTTGGAAAGAATTGTTTGTAAAATGGCCGAAATCGTAAGCAAATTAATCATAGTAACGGTCAAAATAATTGAATATGTGATATTTAATTGAAGGTATTGGGATGATTGGATTCGACAACCAGATCAAAGAAAAGGAAGAGCGTGTATCAGACCGGAAATATCACGAACTAGAACATTTGGAAAATACGGAGTTTCTAAGTAAGATAAACGTTTAGAGGAACTCCTTAATTTGTTGTAATCAAATAACTGTAGTAATTTTTTCTATTCCTGTTTGAATTGTGATATGTTAATTCTTTCTTTTCAAGCGGTATGTATTATGAAAAGCATTTGAAGTACATAAAGCTGAACGAAGAATTCGTGCCTTTCTCAAAAATGGATTTAAGCTACTTAATGAAGGTTAATATTTATTTTATATTACATGTGCAAAATGGCTATTTGTTTTTGTTTTAGGACGCATATGATACGAAATTTCTAAAAGACGTCAACGATGCCCCACTTGCTACTTATCAGCAATTAAAGGATAATGATATCCAGTATGAAGGAACCGTTAAAATTGTTTATCATACGAAAGAAGATTTCAAACGAACGGCAAAACTTTTGGGACTAATGGATGATTTTAGAGTAAGTTACATTACTATTTAACAGTAAAACGAATAATTATTTAAAAGCAACAAGAAAAGTTCATGTTAGCGACAAGAAGTTCTTTTTGTAGCAAAAATTCAGGTCTTTCCATGTAATTATAAAATTAATTATATTTACTTTAAACAAATACAAAACATGCAAAAACACCATTAGTTGGTGTACTCTTAAAAATAACTTTGTTTTAATAATACAAGCGATTTGAAGATTTTTGCAATAGAGTACTTTTAAATTAGATTACAGATATATCAATAATTGGGTACCTTCTTTCTATTTCAAAACAACAAATTCAAGTAAAAGTTATATTATTTGTAACATATCTAAATTTATCATTTAATTTCTGTTTGGATTTCTTGATATAAATCTCAACATGTTCATATTTTAGAGTGGAGTTCCAAGGACAGCGTATCGAGGTGTTATAACGTTTTATTTTAACGGCAGGACCGTCTATTTAGCGCCAAACGTTAATTGGATGGGATACAACCTCTCTTGGAGTTAGCCAAAGATTAGATTAGGAATTTAATAATTTTAATTAAAAGGAAAGAAAGATCATTCCCCCTGCGAGCAGAGCAGCAGAGAAATAGGATTGCAGCAGGCTAGATCTTTTTAGGAGATTTAAGATGTAGGTAAAGCACAAATATTAATTTGATATTTTCAAATGTATAGATATGTATGTATTGCATATAACTTTTTACGTTTAAGTCTTAAAATGCATTTCATTAAAAGGGTTCATTTAAAAATTTTGGTTGTTAAAGATGGTCCAGTCACACAAATATGTAATTAAAACGTACTTTCATGTAATTAATTGTCTTATGTTTATTATGGTGCTCCTTGTAAGTATACATATAAACTTTACTGTATATTATCGTCTATCAAGTGGTTGCCTTTCTACATGGCTAACAACGAAATTAACTATCGCTTAAGCTTGGTCTTTTTTCTTCTTTATTTTTTCTTTCTTAATCACGCATTTATAACAAAAAATAAGTTACATTTTAGTTGTAGACGAATTATTTTTGAATGTATTGGCAGAATAATAAACTTTTTTATTAGGCCTAAACAAAAATTTTTGGATAAAATTAATAAAAATATTTCATATATGGTAATATATTGAGAGGTTTTTAAGCATTAATCTCAAAACGTGATTGTGGACCTAAATTAGCAAAAAACCAATCATAATTGCCAAAGAAATTATTTAGAAATTGATGTAGTTTAAATTATTAAAAACAAAAAATAGGAGATTGGTGCTTTTTCTCTATTATAGGCAGTTAAAAAGTTGTTTGTTAAATATTATAAAACAAGCCTGTATGTACTTGTATTTAACAGTGTAAATAAGACTGTATATACATTTAAATCGACGCTTTTTTCTTGTAAGTAAAAATATTTTTTTTACATCGTCCGTCGTCCGTTTGATACTAAAGTTATTGTGCATATGCTGTATATATATTACTACATAACAAATGATCATTTTTACTTTCTTTATTCTTTCTTATTTTTATATTATGTAATTGTTTTCCATTTACATATAATCCTTTGTATTTTAAATTTTGTAATATCTGTGAAAATATGATCAGTGTTAGAAACTTGTGATTAAAAAATAACGATTGTATTATTGACTGTTGGTACGTTATTGAGGTTTATTTTTATTTGTAATAAAAAAGCAACTACGAATGTTNTGAAGAAAAATTTAACGCTGCAGTAAATGTGATAAGGAGTTTACCGAAAAATGGTACGTAAATTATTCATGATACTTATAATTCTTTGACGCCATGTAAAATTGCAATCTGCTTTATTAATTGCTTATTGTTATTGTACAATTATTAATATGCAGAATACGTTGCAGTTAAAACAACAGGTGCACTGTTAGCAATCGATGAATTACATAAATGACCAAGGTCATGTTTAATTATTTTGTTTATCATTAAAAAAAGAATTTATTCACATTTCTGATATTATCACATGCGCATGATAACGTCTTGGTTCCATTTTTCTTTTAGTTTTCTTAATCTTCTCAATGTGAAAATAATTGCTAAATAACTTTCCAGAAAAAGAAATTAACACTTTGAACTTAGATATCAAGAACGTTATGTAAATAATGCAAACTAATCATTGTTTTTAAATGAATTCAATTTTGTATTTTATTCAAGAAAATTTTTAGTACGTAGGTAGAATTGCTTTAAAACTCATAATTATTTAGGGTAGATATGATAAGTAGTAATGCATACTTTTAATAGTTTACACTCAAAACACTAGTTTTCTACACAATTTTCACATATACTGATAAGCTACTAATTTTAAACCTATTAAATCGTAGATGTCGCTGCGTCAATATAAAAACTAAAACTATCTTTCCTCGAATATTTTATCTATCTTTTTTAATGTTCTACTTTTAATTAAAAAGAAAATAAAAAAGCTAATTAAAATCTTAAGGAAGGTGTTTCTGGCGGTTATTTTCTGAAATCTCCATAGTTGTATAATTTTGACGTAAAGTTGACATAACCTTACCTACGTATTGATTTAGTTCTGACGTTTATTTACGTCCATTTCTATCAAAAATAAGTTNGTTGCGAAGTGAAGATGAAAATATCAAATCAGGAACAAAGTCCAGAAAAGACCACACCCATGTAGACGGTTGTTCGAGTAGCGCCAAACTGAACTCATTTGCTGGGCAATCTGCAGAAATGGACAAAAAAATATATTAATTACGCTATTAATTAAGGAAGGAACTAAGCACTTCTAAATAAAGATCAAAAACTAATTAAAATAGCTGAATTATAATAAAATGGTGACAACTGTCATTTTACATCAGGACCATAGATCATGACATAAATAAAAGTCAAACAATCATAGATGCACGAGGTTAATTTATGATGTTAACAATAGATACTTAAATAAATGAAGTACCGTAGATACACGTCAACATCAATTTAAACTGTGAACAATAGTCAATTGATAAGACAAGTAACCAATAAGATTAATAGAGAGCAAGTGTGCATTCTCACCTTCATTAACTGTAGAAAGTAACGTTCTAAATTGCACAGGTGCAATGAGCAAGCCAAATCCAGGAGGAATACTACTGCAATTTCTTGTTTCAGTCGTTTCAAAATTAATTTCCACTTGCCTCTCACTCGCAAAATTAAAATTAACTCCATAATGTTACAAGATGAAGACGTCAAAAACAATTCCTTGTCATTTGTTGGGCAATCTACAGAAACGGGCAAGAAAATGTAATTAATTACCACATTTAAAGCAAATAAATAAACATTCACACTGATGGAAAGGTCATTTCCACATTAATTTTGCTGTTCTGTTTCTGCCATTTTTAAAACGTTGTTTAAAAAGTGTCTATTGAAAATAAGTTATAAATGTCTAAAAACCTGAAGTTTCTGCGACCTCATTTACTGTTTTTAATTAATACTGTTCCTTATCGGTTCATTCATCTTTACAAATCCTTCCTTTAGCAGTGGCACACTGACTCTGTTCCCAATGGGGAAAAAAGCACTTTCTGCTCTCTTTAGGACCGTAGGTGCAGCTACTTTCTGGAGCAAATGAAGACTGATACAACCAATGCTCAGTAATTTATTGGGATCCTAAGTTTTTATAATGTTCCTGTAAAACGAAATTTTATTAGAGTATTCAGATACAATTAATTTAGCCTCACTAGTAAATAACGTGCATAATACAATGTTAAAGTTAATATCAAATAAATAGACTAAATATATATATTACAGTATGTATGCTCACTTAAATTAACTAGAAGATCCCCTAAGGTAAAAAGAACACCACAGCAGACAAACTTGCTTTTCCACTAGCATCAAAATGAACACTCTTCCACTTCTATTTATTGTCAATCTGTAAAAATAGAGAAGAAAAACGTCTAAGAACTTGACTTTTCTCGGATTTTATCTATTACTTTTAATTGATATTGTTACCCATTCACACACTGTCTCTGTTCCCAACTGAAAAAAGGCATAAACAGACACATACATGTACATAAATGTACCTAAATATACAGATAAAATGAAACGATTCCTTCATGGCTTGACCACGTCGATATTAAAAATCTACTGAACTAAGAATCTATTAAATTTCACAGTAGATAGCTATAATAAACGCCTATAGCATACGAAACCCATGCCGGAGAAGAAAATTCATTTTCTTCAACTATTTAAACAACGGTAACCCAAATCTACTAATCACTAAATGGGAACATATTCCACTTACTCCAATTAAAATAGAATAATGAATTAGGATTAAATACCTTCAGCCGCAGTTTCCAAACATGGACAGCAAAACAGCGTGGCGATGGCGACCTCCAAAATCTGCGGGAGCAATCAGGCCACGTTAGGGAGGAAGTGTTCGATGGAGAAGTCATCATAGGTCTATGATTGAGTAAGAAAGGACTGATATGACGAACCTATAACACTTTTACTCCTATTTTAGACATACTTCAGTTACTACAAAATCTTACATACTATGATTAAAGACATCGACGTTTACTAATGGACATGCCTTAGCGGTCAGAATTGTGGTACAATCATAGATAATAGGGTACAATAAAAGAAAGAGATAGAACGAAGTTTTGGACAATACCCATCTCTCTCACGATAGTGCGTGGGCGTGTCATGAAAAAGATAGCACTAGTCGGAAACCATACGCCATCTCTCTCATTTTTCGAGCCAAGAAATTATTACAATGACATACGGCTAAGGCACGTCCATTAATATATGTCGATGATTAGAGATAATAAACTATGATTATATACCTGTATCATAGATCTGCATATTCTGTGTCTGTATATCTATCATATCCATCCAATCCATAGATCTAATCATAAAGATCCAATATCCAAATAGTCATATTCTATGATCAAGTGTACTTAATTAGTATTGTGAACGTATTGACGTGGCTATTAATTTATCTTTAAATCTAAAAAGCCGATAATGATGTATTGAAGTATTTAAAAAAACATATTTTCACAATGTGAAGATAACTTTACTAACATACAATAATAAGCAAGTGTAAGTCATATTTAAAAATCTGGAATAGCTGTAAGTGTAGTAACTAATGTAATGTTTATATCTTTCAGTTATTAATGCAATTTTAAAATAACATGCGATTTATGAGAACTACAATTATAGTATTTTTCATTGCTTCCTGGATATTACTGTTTATTTACTTAATTCTTTTTGGACGAATAGTAAAAACAGATTCAAATAACCTTGTGGCAGAAAAGCTCAAAACTCTTGAAAATGATATTTATCAACAGTTTCAATGGAACAAAAAGATTATTACTTCCTTAAAAAATGCCATGGTTACAATTCCTAGTATTGAAGAAAATGTAATTGCAGAAGAGAAGCAGAGCTCTAAAAAAACTGTAATTGCTGTTCTTGTAATAGCTTGTAATAGAGTTACCGTGAGTCGATGCTTAGACCAACTTTTAAAGCATAGACCTAATTCTGATCAATTTCCAATCATTGTTAGTCAGGTAAGTTAAACTTCAGTATTATGGTATAAAATTAGAATTAGCCAAGTGCCAATGTATTTTTCAATGTTCTAAAACAAAATTTTGTCTTTTAGGATTGCGGCCATCAAGAAACAATGGATACTATTATGAAATATGGTTCACAAGTAACTCTTATTCAACAGCCAGATCAGTCAGATATTGAAGTTCCTCCCAAAGAGAAGAAGTTTAAGGGTTACTTTAAAATT